CCCCAGGTCTATGTCCTGAGCAAACCCGACGCGGCCGCCGCGCTGGGGCAGGCGGCGCAGCAGCGCACAGTGCTGCAGGGGCCCTTTGACGCGACGCGGCCGGTGAGGGCGCGAGACACCTCGCTTGGCGCCCAGCATTTTTGAGGGCGTGACGCCAAGTGCAGTCCAAACACATGCGGACTGCTCGGGCAAACATGCTTTGGTTGTTGTGCGGCCGTCGGTCTTGAGGGCCTCAGGCAGCGAAGAGGCCGCTGCGGGCGCGGCCAGAATGGTGCATGGGGATGGCTGTGTGGGCAAAGTTGGCGGCCGTCTGCAGAGTGGCTCTTACCCCGTCTGTGCTCTCGGCAGCTGGCGCCCTCACTGCCTGCGGCGCTTGCTTTCGCGCTCACCCCGCCCGCGGCCAGGAGTGCATGGCGGCCGTGGGGGGCATCAGGGATGTGCACTTTGTCTATGCCTGCACCAAGCGGCAGCCGGCCGAAAGCGGCGCAGCAGACGGCGCCGGCGCCGGCGGCGAGGGCGGGGCCGGGCGCGGGGGCGGGGGCAGTGACGGCGCGGGCGGCGCAGACGGCGGGGAGGGGGAGGAGGGAGGCGACAGCACTGGGAGCGAAGGCGAGGCCGTCGTGGCTGGCGCGTGAAGAGATGGAAAGCAGGTAGATCAGGCATGTTCTCGCACCGCACTGCCAAGTGCAGATTTGTATCCCTTTGTTTATCACCACAGGCTGGACCTACTGTGCTTATTGTCCTCGCTGCAGTCATGTACATCTGGTGCCTCTGCACTGTTTTTTTTGCTGTTCAGTCCCCCCCATTGTTCGGGCTGCGGGCGCGCCGCCCTCACTTTTTGGTCCATCCTCCACCATGGACGCTCTCCATGATTGCCTCGCTGCTGCCGCCCATTTGTTTGTTACCCTTGGACTTCTGTGAGTAATGCCGGGCTCTCAATGCAGGCATGTATGTTACTGGAGCGAGCCATGCGCGCAAAGGCAGCAGCCCAGCCGATGGTGGCAGCTTGTCGCGGCTGGTTGCTTTCAGAGCCAACGCTCTGGTCAAACTAACACACGCCCTGCAGAAAGCAACGCCGTGGGCAGTGCGCAATCCACAATAACTGGGCGCCAAACAGTCACAGCAAAAGCCGCAAACTCAAAAGCAAACAATGTCAATGGCTGCAGCCCCGGGGCCCGAACCAACAGTCGGGGTTGGTGGCGGCGGAGGGCCTCATTGCAGCCCCGGGCTCGACCGCTTTGCGACCGCCTTCGCCGGCACCGCCCCGGCGCCAGGCAGCACGATGTGCCCGCCCGCCCCAAGCGCCGTCAGCGCCGCCGGCCGCGCAGCCGCCGCCGCCGCCGCTGCCGGCGCCAGCCCCGGCGGCGCAGGTGACGGGGACGCCTGCTGCCGCACCGCGCCCAGCCCCGGCGCAGCGGCCGCCGGCGGCGGCGCCGGCATTAGGGGGGGCCGCCAGGACGCGGCGGCGCGCGCCACGATCAGTTGCTGGGCGGGCGCGGGCGGCACGCCCGGCGCCTGCTGCTGCTGCTGCTGTTGCTGCTGTTGCTGCTGCTGTTGCTGCTGGCCCGCGCCGCCCGGCTCTGCGCCCGCCGGAGCCGGCGTCCCGGTCGCCTCTTGACTCGCTGATGCCGCTCTCCGCTCCCCCCCGCCGCCGCCATCCACGTCCGCCTCCTCTGCTGCCCGCGCCTCATGCGCCCCCGCCCCGCCCGCCGCCGCGGCCGCCGCTGGTTGCTGAAACAGCTGCGGCTGCGGCTGATGCGGCGGCGGGGGCGGCGGCGGCACGAATTTGGGGACCAACCAATCCAGCCGCGCGCGGAAGCGGTCGGCGTTCAGCCGCCGCCGCTTCGCGCAGTGCAGCCGCACCGACACCCAATGGTTTTTGAGGCTACGCACGGCGTCCTGCGCAGTTGTTGAGGTTTATTGCGGCCGGGGGGCGCGCGAAGGAGAGTGGTGGGCCGCGCTCGTGGCGTGGGGGGGCGCGCCAGTGCAGAGGACAGCGGCGCGGCACAAGTTGGGGTTTGGCGCATGAGTAAAACATAGCATGATCCCGCAGGTCGCAGCCCTGTGGCACGCAAAGCTGGCGCAACATCCTGGATCCAAACCCTCAGCTCAACGTCCCGTCGACAGGTGCCCGCACCAACGCGGCGGCGAGGGGTGAGCCAACCCCGCAAGGCCTCAGGAGCCCTGCCACGGGCGCATCGCCCCCCGCCTTTTCCAGACCCATCCCCCATCATACCAACTGCACCCCTAAATTTCGGCCACAGCAGGCGCACAGTCAGACAAAACCTTGACTTCAAACACCAGATCTCCAAACGGGTTGGTGAACCCCAACGGCCTAAACCCTATGTCATCTCACCGCGGGGTCGTACTCCTCGGACTCCTCAGGGTACAGGGGCGGCTCGTCCTCCCCCAGATCATCCGGCGCGGGCGGCGGCAGCAGCGGCCCCGGCGGCTGCGTGTGCGGCCCAAAGAGGA